AAACACGCACGCACACATTTTGTCGTTAAAAATTAATAACTGTTTTTATTTAGCTTATTTGTATGATCTTATGCAACGTCACCTTATCGCCGGCCGCCGTCTGACCGAGCGGTAGACGTACGGCCGTCCGCCTCTCTCGCTCTCCGTTATCGTCCGCCGTGCTAACACAATACCGTTGTGGGTACGTTTTCTGGTTTTACCATATTTCGTTACTTTTTGTTTATATATTTTAATTCGCCTTATTCCTTATTTCGCGTGGCGCGAATCGCTACGGAATATTGAGCAGCGCGCGCTAATCGCCGCTAATATTGGGTGTTTTGATTTATATTCAGTTTTTTTTGTGTGGTCTAAGAGCCGATATTTGTATTTAGGTTATTGTTTTTTATATTTAGGTTTAGGTGGCGGAGCAGCTGGCCAGTTACTCTCCGCGTAACGGTGAGTTTTATAATTTGTTATTATTATTATTGGTGTTTACCCTATTTTTTCTCCGTGTTGCTGTGATTTTCCCTATTATTTAAGGTTTTTTCTACAGTTTTAAATTAAAAATAATATACAGAGTATCTAATTATAGTAGATCTTTGATTTCAAATTTTATTACTGTAGGCAGTCCAAGTTTATTCAATTGCAGGTGCTTAAGACACCCAACGAAATGTTATGTATAGTAAATAACAATGTATTTTTCTTTCAATGCGTTTCTGTAAATTTAAGTTTGAATAAATTTTAACCTATTCATATTTATTATTGTGAATAATAATTGCCAGGTTTCTACCTTGTTTATATGACAAATTGTTATTTTATTTGATACTAGCTGCCCGTTTATGTAAACATTGTCATGACTTATCAGGGTAATTTACTTTTATTTTCAAACATATGTAATCCAACCCTATAATATTTGAACATATTAAATACCAATTTAATTAAATACGTATTGGAATATACATAATGTAAGTAGTTACTTGAAAGTGTATATTTTTCAATCATGGGTATCTATAGAAATTTTTTACTACCAAATTTAACTTAAAAATGGACAGACCAAAATCTTTTACATCTTTAAAAATTACAAATACAGGGAGAACCTTGTCTGTCCTTTCACTGATTAGCGAACAACAATGTTTACAATTATTCATTGTCATTTCATTATTATAATTCATATAGTAAAATGTTAGGTTACTTTTGATACCTTAAAATAAACTACTATAAATAATTGTCTAAATAACAAATATCACATTTTATAATTAAGTATAATACTTAATATAAATTTTAACTCACACTAATTTAAATAAAAGTTAGTTGGACGCAAAATAAATTTCTAAAAAGTGAATCTCATTGGTAACAAACACCATACATGCTAAATATAACTGAATATGCTAAATTTTATTATGAGGTTACAATTTTACTTCAATAAATTTTTACTTTGTTCGTGTATTTATATGAATACTGTTAAACACTGAAAATAAACATAATTAAATCCTTATTTTTAAAATTATTATTGTAAAAAATACTTTTTTGAAAATTGTTAAAACCACAACCTAAGCATGCAACACAAGCAGCTAATAGGTATTAATAAATATAACACATTTCTTGTAATAATTTAACACATATATTAGGTATTAATTATTTATAGACAGTGTTTATTTAACAATGAGTTATAAATATACAATTACATTAAAGTAAAAAAAAAAAAAATAGTATTTAGTAATAAATTGTAAATAATAATTAACTATATGAAGTTAGTTTTTCAATTAACTTTTTTTTTATATTCCAGTCTTTACTTTTTATATTGGAGCTCTAATTTTTTATTTTAATTAAATTTAGTACATATTTTTTTCCTGTGCCCTACCTAACCAACCTACACTAACCAAACCTAAAACAACCAGGCTCAGCTCGTGATAACAATATAACCAATATAAAGATACATATTTTGTAGTGCGCCACCTTCAATTATGAAAACTATACAATAATATATTACTTCAATATGAAAATATATTATAAACTAGAAATGCATTCATATTTATATTACAGACAAGAATAAAAATATTGTATAGAATTAAAGAAATAATTAATGCAAAAAGTTGAGAAAAACGAAGGTTATCACATTTTATGTGCCATTGCACACAACACACTGTAATTCTAGAAGGAATGATACTGAAAGTTAATCAAAAAAAAAATATGACTTTTATTTATTACTTTCAGTTATGACCATATTTTATTGTTGTCATATTGGTTTGCGTTCAATTAATTTAACAATTTGAGTATTGATTGAAGGTTCTGTTGTCTGTAGCATATTTAAACTGTAGCCAGTGTTTTTGGAGATCCAATAGATTTTAAGGAATAAATGAATCTGTCAATTAAAGCAACTCTGAATCACTTAATATTATATTCAATAAATACAAATTATTTTAAACATACAGTTTTCTAAAATATATATATAATATGTGAAAGCATATTAAATTAACATATAGTTAACATAAGTTAGCATATAAGTTAACAAAATTGATAAAATCATCAAAATATTGATTGACCTTTACATATTCATGAGAACATTTAAGTGTATAAATGGGGTTTTAACAATGAGGAATTTTTCAAATACCTACATTGCTAAATAAAAAAAAAAAAAAAAAAAAAAAAAAAAAAACAAGAAACTAGTTGATGGTAGGAATCTCAAATAAAAATCATGGTTTTGAATTAAACTTTAAAAATAAATAAATCGTTTAATTAAAAATGTGCTGTATTATGTGAATTAAATACAAAGATATTTTCAATTATTATATTAAAAAAAAAAAAAAACAATCAAATAAACTAGGTTTAAGAAATATTTCTGTTAAATATTATGGTCAAATACATTTGTAATAAATGCAAAAATGTGAATTATACATATACATTGTTAAGAATAGTACCTACTATTGTAATATTTAGAAAATCGACACGTTTTCAAAAATAGATTAATATTTCAAATATTTACATTATTAAAAAAAAAAAAAAAAACAGTATGTGGGGGGAATTTTAAATATTGAATATGGTTTTAAAATATATTTGGAATATAATTTTATATGGTGTTAAACATGCTATAAATCATACATTTAAAAAACTTGATAACTTTTATACTTTAAATTAATATTATAAAATCATAATTTATTTTGCCAAAAAAAACAAACTATACCCTACATTATTAGTAATTTAAACTGTAATCGATTTGTAATAATATTATCATTGTATATAATCTCTATTGTTAATTATAAAAACAGTAATAGAATTACTTAATTTGTTAAATCCTTGGTTTACAAAGTAACACCAATACTATATTTAACAATAGTTTGTGTAGTTCTTTAGATCATTAAACTGGTCTGCTATAAAAGTACTTGTGGTTCTTGAAATGGGTATCTTTATGTCTCCAATTCTATTACTAAATTTTTAAATGTTTTTTTTTGAGTTTTTCAAGAGAATCATTTTAGATGACGATTGGGTAATGCAGACTAAAATAATACATTTTTTCAAACAAGAATCAATAATCGTGTTAAAAATTTTAATGGTACAATACTTACTTAGCTTTTATACATAGGAATTATTAGTAATTCTATGATGTTATGACATTTTGCTAATTCCTGTTGCACACTATCATTATAATCTATATTGATCAATTCCAAAATCTTTAAATTCTTCAACGATTTAATAGCATTAAACGTGCTTTTTACAATTCGTTTCCATCTACCACAACAATTTTCTAATCTTAATGATCTTAAATTAGTTAATTTTATTATAAACCTATGGAAATCATCAGGAAGGAATTCACAATCTCCAATCTCTAAAGTTTCGAGGTCGAAGGAAACTGTCCCCAAATTCATGAAAATATCTTTAGGGAATGCTTTTATGGAGGTTAATGACTAAAAAAAAAAAAAAAAAAAATACATTAATAATTAATTAAAACAAGTAAATTTTGTTTTGTTTTATATAATATATATACTCATAGGGATAATGACTCCAAATATATATTACACATATGTAAATTTGAATTTAATTTGTTTGTTTTGGAAAAAAATTAAAATAAATAACTTTTATTGTAAAATAAAGTTTGTATTCTTCCGAAAATGTTGGTCGTTATAACTTATTATTTTTCATTAAAATCGTGATTTTCATACATTTTTATAGTTCAGAAAAATTAAAAACCAGTCAATACTGGCCCTAATAATAATAATAATTATAATAATTATTTCTCAAATTACCTATAGTTCTGTAGCAGGCTATAATCACAATTGCTAAATGCTATTTTTAATATCGGTATCTGATTGACCGTATACTTTTTTCCTCTGAATTTTAAAAAATTAATTTATAATTACGAATTTAATGAAAATAACCAATTAACTCCATAAACTCTATAAAATGGTTATCTTCAAATTTTTCGAAAACAAAACAATAAACAGTACCAAAATATGCAAATTTATTAAATATATGAATATTTGTAGTCCATATCCTTGTCAGCAATAAAAAAACAAATCAATATTTGGTTATCTTTGTTTTCTCGGGAGTTATTGTAATGAGTATATCTTTATGGGGCAGTTTGTAGAAAAATGGTATACAAGTATAATAATTATTTAAATACTAACATGTACATGTATGTATGTGTAAATGACAATTAATCTATTTGAAAACGGTTAGTAATTCATAGGTACAAACAATTTATAAACTTCTCCATCTAAAACTATAATTATAATTGAGTTATTTTTTAAATACAACTATGATGTTAACTTACTAAAATTTTTAGTTTTGACATATGAGAAAATGTATATTTTGATTTTGATACTAATTCAATTCCAGTTATACCTTTTATTTGTAATTCTGTTAGATTTCTCATGTTACCCATATTATCTAGATTAACAGACATAAACTGGTTTACAATTGTTGCATCGTCTGTTGTTACATACGGATTTCTGAAGAAATAATAAATAATAAATTAAAACAAGCTATATTTATGTAAAGTATAAGAAGATTAAACTTTTTGTATTACTTTATTGATGTGGCATTAAGTTTTTCAAGTTGATGTAATGAACACATGACATCTTCAACCACACTGGCTGGACATCTATACAATTCAAGAGCTCTTAGTTGTGTTGCGTTGGGTATCGCTAGTGAAAACTTTGACCAAAAGAGTTCAAATTCATTAATATCTTTAGGTAATAACATGCGTCTCGTGTCCAATGAAATTGAACGATGCATATCAATGGTGTGTATAAATTTGTCCCAATCGAGAACCGTAGCATTTTTTAAACGAACATATTGCCACTAGAAAAAAATAATAAACAATTCAAACTAAAATAATAAGTTTATGATTAAATTTTAAGAAAACAACTTGAATTCTACAGCGCAGATTTAAATACATTTGTTACTTTTATTATTTATTCACTGTTCTACACAAGTAATCAAATACACACTGTTCTTATAATGAAAAATGATTTACTCCAGATTTTGTTAATTGGTTTTTATTAATATTATTTTTTTTTAAATATGCATACAAAAAATTTTTTAATTGACAGTATTTTATAAAATGTTCATATTATTTTATACTATTAAGTTTTTCATTATAATAAGTCTCGAATTTGTCTTAACCATAAGTAAAAAGAGGCCATTTTCAATTTAAAAAACATGTACATTTATCATTATTTTAGATATTATGTTTTATTTTGTTGTCATTAAAACAACACAATTTTAATTAATTTATCTATATTTTTTGGTCTTAACTGAATTTGTTTAAGATATTCAAATCTGAGCTCAATGAATAACTATTACAATTGTGATTCTTACTATAAATTTATCCATTGCAATCGAATTCCAATAAGAACACACTTTGGCAACATTTAAAAGATCTTTCATTTGTAAATATGAGAAAACAAGCTTCATTGATGTGCCCATATCACAAAATGATTGCATGCTAATAACTTCTGAAGGTAAATTGTCAAATTCGGATGTTCTGTAATAAATTGATAAAAAATAAATGAGTTCATAATTATTTCCCGTTTTAAAATGAAAAAAACGTTTTATTGTGATTTTATCTTCTCGACCAGGCACATATAAAGTAATCTACGTTTAAACAAGCAAACAAAACCGGTCTTGAATCTTGAGTGAAATAATAAGTAAATAAAAATAGAAGTTGAAAGGAAATTAACAGTATTGATTTTAATCGTTAAAAACGTGAAAACAAACACAACCAAATGAATTAAAGTATTAAAAAAAATTTTTAACTTACTTTCATTCATAATGAATAATACCAATGACTAATGCCACTTTGTGCCTGGTCAGTATTGTATTTCCCCAAAAGAAAAGAAAAATTAAATATTTACTCACTCGCTTAAACTTTTAGGTTCCTGAACAACACAAACCATCATACTAGGCTTTCGTGCCTGATTCATTTCGTACACATATTGTGGATAAAACCTGTCATCTCTCATAACAGTATTACATTCAATCCCTTGGCATGTAACTGTATTTGTGACAGAATTATCTTCATTGATCTTATTGATTTCGTCTAATCGAGCCCTTAAAACTTTTTTTGTAAAATAAATACATTTTATATATGTAACTAAAAACACAAATTAGTAGCATAAAAATTATACAAGATGAACTCACGTTTTATTTTTAATTCAATTTGTTTTGTTACATTATCATCATTGGAATCAAAACCAATGAAATGCTCCTCTGATTGTTTTTTTGATTCCTAAAATATAAATAGATTTTTATAATTAATTTTCGTTTTACATTATTTATATGTTTTCATGTTTATTTTATTCATTGCACATTAAAACAATTAATAGTTATTTATTAAATAATTAATTACTAAATTACAATTCAGGTTTTAGTATAAACAATTTTGTTCATGCGTACATTTTTATAATCAATAAATACTAAAAGAAATTGCTATAATGTTACAATATTAGTTCTCAATAAAAGCCACAAATCACAAAATTGAAGAATAGCATAATAGTTTTACCATTATATTATAGTAATGTATGTTGTTGTTTACATTGTACAATTTATATATTCTTTACTATTATTATTAATTAATAATTATCACAGTCGAGATTCAGTATTACCTTGCATAACTTAATGTGATAAGTATCAGGTAAATAAATTGGTTTTTCCAAATATCCAGATAAATAATCATTCTAATAAATCTACAACCATAACACAATTCCAGTCAACACCAAATCGGTCATCATTAACTAGTAGTAATATCAAATTTAAATATACAAAACAAACATAAATCAGTTTGACCACTGTTTTACATTATTTTATTTCGAAATACTCATGTTTATTTCCTATTATAATGTTCACTATAGTTCCCAGATAAATTATACCATACCCAAATACTTTATAACCTTGAACAACGATACTAATAAAAAAAAAAATCTATGCAAGAGTGCAAATATAAAGGAACGTCAAGCTTCAAGCAGTGCTAGCTAATAACAATAGTAATATTAAATTCACTAATTCGGTTTTGTTACTAAATAATACAGAACGCTAGGACAATCTGGCCTTATCGTTTTATTCATTATTTTAATTATATAAAGATAAACATACCATTTTATTTAAATGTTGATTGTCAAATATTAACTTATACACATACAATATAGATTACAATATAAGAAATGAACTTATAAAACATATAATCGGAGTACGAAAATGAACCCTGGCGAATATGATAACAAGGTTTCTTTTTAAACCCTGATAAACAGGGTTTATCAAACGGAGATACGTGAAACGCGATCGCTTTACAACATGTATGTTCTTTGTAAATTTATAATAGAGATAAGAGATATTTAATATATAGCTATGTATTTAATATAAAATTTTTATTTACAGAATAATTATTTTTTTGTATTTATTAATAAATATATAGATTTAATAACTGGTATACTAATATACAATATGAATCAATGAATTTATATAATTCCACATCACTATTATAAATTTACAAAGAACATACATGTTT